GAAAACAGTTCACAGCTAAAATCGTACATTTCCCCTCGGGGAAATAACAAGAAAATGAGAAATTTCAAATTTCTATTGTTTAACCTACACTAAGCGTTGTGTGGCGAAATTCTAGATAAAAGAGGAAAAAATTAAGGGAACAAAGCAGACAACAGTAGAAGAGCTAAATGAAATTGTCTTAAAAACTGTCCATTAATTTTATTTTTCATGTTAGCAATTTTTGTGCTACTAACAAATATAAACACGAAATTACAAAAAATATATTCATCTACGTGCTTTATTTTCTATGGAAAAATTTAATTCAAGTAACAAAATGTAATTACATACTTTTCTCGCACGAGTATACATTCACAGCTGAGAGGTTAACGTCTGACTTAAGCTAGCGTTTACTACTGAACGTCACAATTCTCCTTTCAATGAATAGAACAAAGAATAGTTTCTTTTTATTTTTCTAAAAAGTAGAATTTTAATATTTTTTAAAAAATAAGGATTGTCTTTATTTTTAGAAAAAACGATACAGTTAAATGTATTTGTATTTTGTAACGTAATTGGTATTAAAGTTCCAATTGAAACGTGAATTAAAAATTCCAAATGAAAGATTGTTGATGAAAAATGATTAAAATATAAATATAAAATTTTATAACTGTTATAAAATAATAATATTTCTTATTATAAAATATTAATGTTCATAAAATAATAATATTATAATTAAATATTAACAATGAATTTAATTAAATATTATATTATATAATTATTATATTAAATATTATAATTAAATATCCGTCGATGAAAAATGGACTGATCCATAAATTCTACGATCAATCCAATAACAAGAATAACAAGAATTTTTATATTCGATTATTGGAACGATTGCTAAATACATGCCTAGAATAATAATAATAAATAATATACTCGTTTTATTTTTATATTTGTTACTTAAAAATAATATTTAAAAATAAAAATAATATTTATTTTATAATATGCTGCAACAAAAAAAAAATACATAACTGTGTAAAAAAGACATCAATGACCTTGAAAACTTCGAAAAGAGTGGAAATATTCTTATCAGTTATTGGCCTTTCGATGCCATTCATGTTAAGTAGAAAATATTTTTTGCATCATTGCAATTCAAAAAGAATTATTTTAGGTGGCCTCATTTAAATGGACCACCCTGTATATTGTAATAATGTTCCTTTCCGATCGAAGTCCGAGCATCTCCTCAGGTATTGGACTGTTATCGCTTGTGCGGTTCCGTTTTCACATTTGTCATCGCGCTCTTGAGACATACGCGTTCAGTATACTATCGGATGACTATCTGCTCTTTGTGAATCACATGGTTAGAACTTTAACGAGCAGTAGATTAGATTGCTTAATTACGATGCAAAACGCCACGACAAGATCCACGAGGGATCATGCATCACTCTTGTCCTTTGTCTCTGCAAAGTACAGGGTGGTCCAAAAGTCACTTCCTACTAAAATAAATCTGCAATTTTTTTTATTACACAGGTGATGATTCACCTCAAATAAATTTTAAATTATGCATCTAATGAAAAAATTGTTTAATACAAAGGTTGTATTGGCTTTAAGGGAGGTAATATATGGCGTATCAATTTTTTGTTTTTTGTTTCGAAATTTCCAAGGTCATCTTTATTTTTTTTAATTGGACCGTATATTTTTTTCATCACAAATCGAAAGAATATCAAATTCCAAGTAAAAAAGTATTAAACCATATTTATCCTAAACGTAATGATTAAGGAGATATTTTACAATAATTTGATCATCAACGTCCATGGAATGTTATGTGGTAAGCAAATGGTACTAGTTCTATGCAGTTTTCATTCTCGAGAGAAAATATTGTAAAATTTCCCAAAGGGTAGGTGGAAATGATCAAGTTTCATTTATTTATTGTTGTAATAAGTATTGTTACAATAGCAATCACTATTTCTACTCATTTTTCCTAATTTTTCACTTAGGCCATTGGTCAATTAAAGCTTATATTTGAATTTCTATAAATCACTGAATGATCAAGTGTCACTATTTATTGCTATAATAAGTTGGTAGTGTAATAACTATAATTAGCACTCACTATTTCTGTATGTATACAGAATACAATATACTCATTTTCTTTAATTTTCTATTTAGGCCACTGGTCAATTATCTTATATTTGAATTTCTACCAGTCATTGATATATTTTAGAAAACAATAAAATTCAAATATATACTTTTAATTGCATAATGTACTTCTAACTCAAGTATATACTATTATTACTGGATTATAGGTTGCAAGATATATATATTACAGGTATATTATTACAGGGTTATAGATTGCAAGTAATTGATATCAATTAAAAGACAATAAAATTCAAGGACATACTTCTGATGACTTATCGTTAGAACAACAGCTCATAACTGTTAATACCAGAATGATTATAACTCATGTACTGTCAAGCATGATATTTCTGTTTATATACCTTTACTACCAGATAATTAATCTTTCAATATTTTAGGATTTCAGTAAAGTAGCTTAAAGCTTTAACAACATACTCCTTCGACGAACGATTTCCTTCTCTCTTTTATTTTTCATCCAACAGATGAAAGCACGCAGGTATATACTTACGTACATAACATATGTATACACATACACGTACCTACATACATACATACATTCCAGGCGACATTCTTGAGCTTCTTAGCTGGCGGATCCACTACGACTGAGATGCGTCTCGTTTGTCCATTTTCCTTCGACGTCGATTTAACTCCCGTGGCGTTCGTTTTATATTTACTTCGGACAGATTGAAAACTACTAAAAATTCCAGACACGCGACATTGGTAACACGACTTCCTGACTTTGAAATCAGATTCGAATCGGAATACCCCCCTGTTTCCCTCGATACCCGCCGATTCCACCTTATGTAACGCAATACACACGCTTCAAATTGTTAGGCACTTTTTTACCAATGATTTCTTTTGTGCGATCCACGATACCGTCAACAACGTCTTGCATGTGTTTTTCTAAACTTTCGACCTTTAAAGAGCTCTCTGTTTTTAGTTTCTCAAATAACCTTGTCCTGCCATTATTGCAAATAATCCTTAGTATTTAGTATTATAATCGAGAGTTTTGTTCTTTTTAAAGAAATTCTTTTTCACTTTTCGAAGAAATTTGAATACCTTTTAAAGAAATACATTAAACATTAGAAAACATTAAAGATGCTCAAAATTATTACTATTAATATTAACGTATAAAATTATTACCAAGGAAAAATGTTTTTTCACGATTTAATTTATTATTCTTTTATTTATTTATTTATAATCGCATCAACCACTTGTGTGAGTTATTAGCAACTTGAAACTAAATCTTTCAATTTATTACAAAAGTCAGGTCAGTGGTTCCCAACCACGTTTTGGCTATGCCTCTAACCTAATCTCGATGCCCCACTCCCGTGACACGTAATTCTTATTATTTAAACAGTGAATTTTTGATGTAGAGGAAACCTAAGAAGCTATTAACTTCAAGGTCTAAACAAACTCCCAAAGAACATGATATCCATGAAAGAAAAAAAATTAAAAAATTAAATTTTCATTTGAAGAAATGCAAAAAATTAACTTAATAACTCACTCTCGAATTGTCCCTTTAGAAAATCAAATTAGCCCCCTATGGAGCGTGGGATAATCTACGTTGAGAACCACGGGCTTAGACTTCTTAGAAAGTGTATTAATTTCAAGATCGCTTCTTTATCTTTTAACTTGTCATTCAGGATTCAAAGATTTATGTTCAATTGATGTTTATTTATTTTTCAGTGTTATTTATTTTTTGCACTGGACAATAATATATTCCACTGAACTCAATTAAACTTTGCACAAATCACAAATCAGGGAGAAAATTATTGCCGAGGAAAAATGTCTTTTTATAATTTAATTTAAAAAAACAAAATCTTATACTGGTTATAAGATCGATTCTAACGGGGTTGATCCACCATTGCACCATTGATAACACAAATCTGTGTTACCGACAAATTAACCTCTTTCTAAGTCTATTCAAAAGTCAATTTCTTTGTCACTTTTTAAAATTTTTCCTCCCTTTTCTTTTCTTTTCAAGGATAATGAGCTCAACAATCGTAATCCTTTTCTCCATGATGACCATGGCAATATTCTATAACAATGTTTTGGCAGCTTTACCGCTCGAATGTGATCCCGGCTTCCTCGATGATCTTCCACCGAGGATCCGCAAGATCTGCGCCGCACTTTCGAAGGCATATGAACTCAGTTCGGGCGTGGGAAGTTATACCAATGACAAGGGAAGTCATATACCAGGTGTTTTAGGTAAATTTCTTACATTTTTCTCAATTTTCGCTGCCACTTCGCTGGTTTATAATTTTTTAAATATGATATATTATTTTATCATTACTATTAATGAATATTATTATTAATATAGACATATATGTTGTTATAAATCAGGATGTTTCGTTTTAATCTTTTAATTGCGGAGCTAACATACCAAAAGCGCACTCAAATAAGAGTGAAAAGATAGAGTAAAAATATTGAAAGATACGATATTCACGTTTAAATCTATGTATGTTAACTTCAAAGTGACGAGTTATCAATTGAAGTATCAATCTATAAATGCAATTATCTCTGAAACTATTCGTTATTTTAAAATGGGACACTCTACATATGTAATATATATATACACATATATAATATATATAATATTTTAATTTTAATATCTTTTTTAAAAATAACAGAAAGTTTTAAAAGAAATTTTTAAAGAAATTAGCAAGAACTATATAACTTCTTCTCCTCCAGATTGATTTCTTGTTTTAGCGATAAAATGAATCTCTTATTAAAGAAACGGTAAACGAAATGGCCAGAATTAGGAACAGCCGGTAAATTAGAAATCTGCTCCGTTTAAATCAAAATATCCTTTTCAACTGGGATCAACTCTCATAGTGCAATGATACATATATCATCGTTACACTACACTAATTATCATTGTTACTACATTAATTTATTCTCTCTTTATTTCTTGATTCAGTTTGCAGTCATTATTTTTTACATAATTTCTATGCTCTTTTTTTTTCGAACTATATCGACTCCGCTCGTTTTATATCTTTCGCATTAAAAGTGTTCGCTTAAGATGATTACATTGAACAGAAGAAAAGGAGAGAGGATAACATTTAATACAACGATCGTGATCAAATTTCATTATTTGATTATAGAGTCAATTCAGGAATCTATCCCGTTACTAGACAGTGGCGTTAAAAGACAGGACGATCATGTTTTCCTGCGCTTCGGAAGGCGTCGTTAGATGTCGTTTTTCGCACTTCGATCTCACTGCATCGTCAAGTTGCGAGAAAAAAAAAATGCCTGCAAACCCATCCGACTTACTCCTTTGTATTGCATGTATCAATTTGTATTTCTCCTTATTGTATTATGTATATAATTACTACATATATTGTACCATTAAGTCTGATCGTAATGACGAGCGAAGAAGCGTAACTGACTGTACGAATTAAAGTCACGATCAACCAACTTGCTTTCGATTTCATTTAGGAACACACTGAGAAGATTTTTTTCCCTTCCGTACTCACTATGCGAATAAATTCAATTTACTGAATTTGCAGTAACAACTTGAACTGGCGAGCTGGTAATTTAGTTTCTCTTAGCGAGACCATGTAAATCTGTACACTGTAGCGACTTTGATCGTTTATTAAATTTTGAAATTCTGAATTACGATGATCGTCATCCTTTTTCTTCCTTGCTGAAAAATAAACACTGGTTACTTTCTTCGTCTTCATAAAAAAAAGAATACATATACACAGAGAGGATGCGCTTTGAGGTTAGAACGTATTCGGAGAAATTGAAGAATTCAATTTCACGACAATTTTATTTGATCACGTTGCAACAGAAGTAGCAGTAATCGATGATTGTGTTAAAATAAGGTAAAAACACATTGTACAACAAGTTTTTAAATCTCGCACAGGTGTTGAATCGATAAGAATAAATTGGTGCGATTACCGGCCGAACAACGATTAAATATAAAGAATTGCAGACGCATGCATAACAATCCAAACATACAAGGGGTAGTTTGACATATTCTACTTAGTAATCTAATTTTGTACATTTTACGCGACTTTCGAATTTCGAAAAAAGATACTCGACAACCTTAGAAAGACAAGAGATTGTAGATCTTAGACTTTTTTCCCATAAATAATGGCACAATTAACAAATGGTACAATTTGTTTTTTGTATTCTTCTAACATCTGCAAAATTATAAACAATTTAATCCGCTAAATTCTTAAGTATTTATCGACAAATTCGTATTCGCGAGCGAGGAGATTCACTCGCGCCACCGACGAGATATCTGCGCTTGCGCTAACATCGATCACAAAACTTTTTTACCGATCTCGGAACTCAAAAAGTATCTACGTTTTTCTTGCAACCGAGGGAAACGTGGAAATCCATTGAGAGATGCCTGAATCATACAGTTTGTCTACCTCGTTAGATCTGTTCGCAAACTTCGTGTTAATGTACAATTCCGAAGGCACCTATCCTCTTGAAGCTAAGTTTTAAATTCTTAAAAGATGTACCTAAAATCGTGCTTGATCAAACATGTGCGACTTGTTACAGAATCGTCATCTTCGTTACAGAAAGCCATTGGCTAAGTTCTGAGAGAATCTCGTAAACATATCTACATCGATCAAACGTCTCGGCACTTACACGCTAAAGATTCGAATATTTACAATCCCTATTCTATCACGTAGTGACAAAATACGCCCGAAACGACTAACGAAGTTCATCGATTAACGAGAAGTCAAATCTTCGACGTTGCTTCTCGGAGTGCGGCTGTAGCTATGGTGGTGCAGAATGCGGAGGTTGGGGTCAGCAATTTGTAACGCTACAATGTTTTTCGTCCGCGAAATAGGACACAGACACCACGTCCCCGCCAACGTTTATCAAACATTGACCCTAGAATATAATTTCGAGTGATAATTTGACAAATATTCAAAATATACGTTCATAAACTATTACTAAAACTATAACTCGTAAATTAGAACTCACTTGGTTCTTGTGAGGACTGTGAAGGAGTACGCATTTAGTCATAAAGAATGCTACCATCGCGTTACCGCCCAAGGCTGTAATGTGCGCGCGAACGATTGCTAAAACTTCCATCACGAAACTATGGGTAAATCCACTTAGACCACCATTCTGCAATAGAAAAGAACATTACTAATTTTACTGTTAATTTATTGATCCATACGTTCACATAGAAGAAAGAGAATACTAACTTCTCTGATGGACGTGCTCTCACGAATGAAGAAAAAGTTCAAATTTCCTAGATACCTTTCTATGCGACCACCCGGTAAATAAGACAGAGGTGTTATATCCACACCATACCTTCCTTTTAAAGGCACCTGCAATTTTAATTGCGATTCTAATTATATGTTTCATATAATTATTAAATTATAATTTCATGGAATTCTTCTAACACCGAAGCACTTACATGCTTGTGTCTACGTGTTATATAAACCTTGGATCGTAGTGGTGAACGGGTTCGGGATCTCAATGATGGTGCATGGACTAGAGTAGCTGAATTCAGATTACTACTGGATACGTTATCCGACGAAACCTCAGCGTGATCCACATCAAGATTAAATATCATATCACTGTCGTCTAAATATATAATACATTTTTATTGATCAAATATAATAAAATATAATAAGAATTAATAAAGAATATGTAGTATTTACCTTGTTTTTTGATTTGGTCTTTACTTATAGAATGGCTTATCGGCTTTTTCTTAGATTTATTCATTTTTACAGGATCACCTAGTCCAAGAGCCATACCAATTACTGTGAACTGTATCTCGTCGGGTTCGGGAAGTGCCAATTTAAATTGCATGTCGCACAGTGCACAGGGGATCATTCTTCTTAATTTGAAATATACAGACTGCAACGAAAGATCAATGATATTTCAATCTATTATTTTAATAATTTCTACAATTTATCATTCATTATTTAATTGATATAATTAAAAAGATGATTTTATTAAAACTACAGTTGAAACTGCAAAGATACCTGAAGCAATCTAGCAAAATATTTGGAAGGCATCGAAGCAAATTGTCCAGCAGGAATTTTCGTCCTTGAAATTTGAGCAAACATCTGTAAATTCCTCACGATCTCCAGGTCATCTAAACCAGGGATCGTTTGAGTATTTACTACGTGGAAATCTTCCGGTGGTCTGTCGTCCATCAGTAACGATATTCTATCCATATCTTCTATGTCGTCTACTTCTAACACGCAGGTGTCTCTCGGCCCCACGCTAAAATCTAAATCTGGGAGATCATCGTCCGACTCGTCGGTGTCAGAAGTCGTGACACGTCCATTCTCAACGTCCTGTCAACGAATAAATTAACATATTGATATTTACCAATTTTAAGAATAGATTAATTAATACACAGAATAGATTAATTACCCCAGCAGGTTTCAGCCGATAAAACTCCCTATTCTGTTTGACTGTCTCGACTAAAGTCTTCTGGATTTCTGCCAACTGTTCCTCTTTATGCCAAGAATTTCCAGAGGCAATTTGTGGAATAGAGGGTGTAGGTAACGCAGCCAAGAAAACAGCCGTACCCACAGCCATACCAATGATCAGTCGTTCCCCGACCGATACCTGCAGTTTCAAGCCAAATATCGCGTTCATTCCTTTGACCTTCAGTTTATTTAACAGCAAACTGTGCAATTCGTATTCTAAGAACGGCAAGCAATCCGATATCTCCTTGGCATTTAATTCCCCTCGGAGATCCTTCTTGGCTTTGCACGCGGTTGCTTGAATGATGCATCCTCGTCCGGTTGTTAAAACGTTCTCTGGTAAGTCTATGGTGGTGAACATCACGTCTGGTACTCTGACACGCTTGCATATGGCACATTTTGACACGTTCACCCGAAACGGGACGCTTGCTTCATTGTACGGTAAATGACAGAGGCTGCACTTGCTTTGAAATTGAAACTCCCTCTCGTGGTCTTTGCTCTCCGACGTGTGCCTTGCTTTGCCGGTTTGTGTCAAAGCTGGCACAGACGTGTCCGTGTCGCTTTTCTCCACTTTTATCGGTGCCGATCTCTGTTGAATTTTCTCACGTTCCACTTCCCCGGGATTAACACCGGATCCTGACTGTGCTTTGCTAATAAAAACGCTGTCTGTATCCTGACTTGAACTATGAAGATTAATCACTGCAGCGGTTCCATACGCGTTCAACACGCAGACGTCATCACTGTGAAGGAGAGAATAATGAGTGAAATAATTTTATCATAAAGTATATATATATATTATGTATAAATTATATATAATAAATGAAATAATTTAATATGTAATTTAAGTATATAAATTCATAAGTAAAACAATTTCATTATAAAGTATATAAGAAATTATAATGTACATTGTGTATAAATTATATATAATATACATTATAATTTATATATAAATGTAAAGACTAAATATAAATATGAATATAAGTATGTTATATAAATATAAATAAAATAATATATAAATTGGATAAAGTGTATACATTTAAATTTTCTTATTCTAATCATTACCAAATACTGGTTTCCTCTTTGTAGCCGATCACTACATTGCAGGCTAATGCTCTGGCATGCGACCGAACTTCCATCCTGACTTCTTTCCACCAGGCATCGCGGCTCTCCGGTTCTTCCAAATTACTGATCCTCTCCAGAAGCTTAACCGACCTTGAACTCACAAGACCACCTGTCTCAAAAAGCAAATGCTTTATGATTAACACGAATTAAGAATACTCGAGTAATGAAATGCTTACCAATATGCAAAATAAATCCTGGTGGATACTGTTGCATCGTGATGAACGGGTATTCTAGCATTTCAAACGCATCTTGATTCATAGTTCTTATCACAGCAGTAGACGTTCTCAATAATCCGGTCATTGATCTATCATTTGCTCCGAACGAGTTGCCTACAATATACATCACTGTCTGTTTTCTTATTCTTACAAAGAGTACGAATTAATCTAAGAACAAATTATATTTATTGTTAAGCACAGGTTGCAAAGAAAGAATGTCTCATAAAGTGGTTCCGTTTTCAACAGTATGAATGCTCAGCAGGTAACAAGCAAAGAAGAAAGTACATATAAAGAAAATATTGTAACTTTCTCTGGAAATATTGTACTTTTTAATCGTATACGTGTAAATTAAAAAAAAAAAAA